TATGGACTGAACTCCCACTCCCTGAAAAAGAAGCTGTTTGCTTTAGCATCTTATGACTTCAATTGCTGACTCTACTAAAATTTCATCAACATGGGAAGGATCTTCCAGTAATGGGTAACAGCTGGCTAACTAAGGTACATGCATGACTGCAGAAATTTAGCTTCATAGTCTTACACTGCTTATTTTCTTAAAAAACAAAACAGCCCTGCACACACATACGCACACACAAAAGCTAACCCTCAACTCCTCAGATACAAGACTGTTAAATCTTTGTGGCTTGTAAACATTTAAGATATAAAGTCCCAAGTTAATTTATTATAATGTTTGTTTAGAGGAAAGACTAAAGGGATACAAAATTCTAGCCAGCAAACCAAGGGCACAAATGAAGCAACTGTACTTGAAATATACAAGAAAAGCTTTATGAATATGAAGTTGTTGATCTCATGCTCTTTTCTGTTATGGTTCTAACAAAATAAATATTTATTTCGGGACCACCCTTAAGCACTGCAGCTTGTAAGGAGTGGTAGTAATGACTGTATTGCCTTCCAGCCATGCTGGCAAAAATATTTACATAACTATGTGCTACATATGAGAGAGAACATGTGTTTTTTTTCAGTATTTCTTCAGTCCAGGTGGCCTCACTATTTGAACATTAAAATGACAAATATTCACATGCTGCAGCAGTACCCCAGTAATATTAAAGAGACATTATCCATATTCCAGACCACAAGTTTTACCTATTTTATGGCTGTTCTACTTTGATAGGGAAAATCCTTTATATTTCAGATTCAATATCTAGTAGTTTTACTTATTTAAGTTCACAATTCCATTACCAAGAAAATTTTAAAAAAATGTAAAGTTACAACCTCCACCCCAACTCTTAGGCTTGGTCCACACTGGGGCGGGGGATCGATCTAGGAAACACAACTTCAGCTACAAGAATAGCGTAGCTGAAGTCGACGTTTCCTAGATCGAACTAAGTTTACTTACTTCGGGTCCACGCGGCGCAGGCAGGCTCCCCCGTCGACAGCACTTCCTCCTCTCGGCGAGCAGGAGTTCCGCAGTCAACGGGGGACCGCTTCTGGGATCGATTTATCGCGTCCAGATGAGACGCGATAGATCGATCTCTACCCGCCGAATCAGGCGGGTACTGTGGACCTAGCCTTAGACTCAGGGCTCAGTCAGAAATAATACATATCTCGCATTCAAACACTAGTCCCAGAGCTATGCTAATATCTTAAGTGCTGGTGCTGCGGAAGCATAGAAGCAAATAAAAGATGATATGATGCTTTAGAGGTACAGTCAAGACTTTAAGAGTTATTCTATTCATGAGCTGTTTTATGTTTGCACCCAAGTTATCCCTTCACTGTTCCTACCTGATACTGAAGCACATCATTCCTGTTCATAAGACGAAAGCAGACAAGCAGAGTAGATGAACAGCTCATGTATTCCTCAGTTGTAGAGACACCCTAAATTACTGTAGGGTCTCAGCACAATTGCACATATTTTGCATTCTTCATTTTGGGGAGCAATTTTAAAGGGATAGAGATGACCATGTGAATTTAAAAGCAACATAAAGGTAGGTTAAATGTTGGGCCTCTAAAGCTCAACAGTAACCCTATGTACTCCATTAAAACCAGATGAATGCTTGAGAGGGAGAAATCAGTGTTTTGACAACTTAAATGGACAACAGGAAGGGGGAAAAAGTCTTATTTTCTAATATAAGGCCTTGTCTAGACTTGGAATTTGCTCTGAATACCCATCATTGTTGCTGCACTGGTGCTAACTCTAGTGCAGAAAGGCACAGCTGCTATTTGTACAGGGGGAGCGTAACTCTATTTCAAGCAGGGCTAACCTCCACTAGTGCAAACAGCAACTAGGCCTCTCTGGGCTGGAGAACATAGCTACACCAATCGCTGTACAGTAACTCCTCGCTTAAAGTCATCCCGGTTAATGTTGTTTCATTGTTACGTTGCTGAACAATTAAGGAACATGCTCGTTTAAAGTTGTGCAATGCTCCCTTCTAACGTCCTTTGGCAGCTGCCTGCTTTGTCCACTGCTTGCAGGAAGAGCAGCCCATTACAACTAGCTGGTAGGGGATAGGAACCAGGGTGGACCGGCAGCCCCCCTATCAGCTCCCCGCTCCCAGAGGTGAAAGTAAGCCGGTATACCCCGGTACAGCGTACCGGCAAGAGTCGATGCGCCGTACCGGGGTGGCCCGGCTTCCCCAGGCGGCAATTTAAAGGGCCTGGGGCTCCCAGCAGCAGCTGGAGCCCCAGGCCCTTTAAATTGCCGCCAGAGCCCTGCTGCCGGAGCCCTGGGGTAGCAGCGGCAGCTGGGGGCTCCGGCAGCGGTTTAAAGGGCCCAGGGCGGTAGCAGCGGCCGAGCCTTGGGCTGTTACCCCGGCGGGGGAGGGGGAGAGCACTTACCGGTACAGGGAGGGCTGGGGCTGGCTCTGACCCCCCACATCCCCGCCCCTTCCGCCTGAGGCCCCGCCCCTTCTGGGGGCCAGAGCCGGCCCCAACCCAGCCCCATACCAGTAAGTCCCTATTTCTACTTTCACCCCTGCCCACTCCCCTAAGTTCCCTGTGCAGCAGCTGCCCAGCAGGCTAGCAATTGCAGCTGTCCCTTTCCCCCAATGCCATGTGCTGCTCCTGCCCTCTGCCTTGGAGCTGCTCCCCGAGACTCCTGCTTGCTGTGCGGGGGGGAGAGGAGGAAAAGGGGGGCTGTCAGGGTGTCCCCGTCCCCGCTGCTCCTGCACCCCGCTTACCCCATCTTCCATAGAGCAGGGGGGACACACAAGGGAGGGAGCTTGCTGGTAGCAGCTGGTCTCAGCAAGCTGATCTAATTAACAAGGCAGTGTACTTAAAGGGGAAATGCGCATCTCTCTCTCTCACACACACACACACACACACACACACTCTGTGTGTGTCTCTGTCTGCGATGCTGTCTCCCCTCTCTCCATTCCTGCTGCCTTGTAGAGTGAGAGAGTTAACCCTTGAGGGCTCAACCAATTGCTAGTTCATCATTTAGCAGTAAGGCATTCCCTGGGAAATATCCCACCCTCTGACTCCTCCACTCAACCAAGCTTCACAATCATCATCACCGTGTACCAGTATTAAATTGTTTGTTTAAAACTTATACCGTGTGTGTGTATGTATGTGTGTGTGTGTGTGTGTGTGTGTGTATATATAAAAAATTAGTCTTTGGTGGAAAAAAAATTCCCTGGAACCTAACCCCCTCATTTACATTAATTCTTATGGGGAAATTGGATTCGCTTAACATCGTTTTGCTTAAAGTTGCATTTTTCAGGAACATAACTACAACATTAAGTGAGGAGTTACTGTAACTCATGCATATCCACAATTTGCACAAGGCCTAAGAAGGCATTACAAACTATGAAATGTAAATTTTTTAAAATTAGATCTTAGTAGATGACAGGGTCAATTCAAGACAACGCACATAAGCATTTGCTATGGTTCTCTAAGTCACAAGTCTTTGAAACTGAAGTTCTTTCAATTTTATGGTTCTATTTTCAGGGATGCTAAGCACCCACAATTCCAATCACCATCAGTAAGAGGTGTAAGTGCTCAATGCCTCCGAGTATCCGGACCTTTACTAATTAGGCATTTTAAACTGTTTTACCCTACCAATTATTACCAAAACAAATAAGTTGTTAGAGAACTTTACAGTAACTAGTTAGATTTCAAATGCACTGTACATTTTAAAGTTATAATTGGTATATTCCTTTTAAAGAGGTTTCAAGTGCAGTTTTACTCAGAAATGAGACAATAAAAATGATTTTTACAACACATCAGCTCTCTGTAGGCACTGAGTCCCATCTGGTAGCTTTACTAGCAAAAGTAACTTTTTTACTTTAAACAAAACCAAACCCCACTCCTGTTAGCACTTTTCTAGCTCATCCATTATTCACAGAATTATTAACTAGTTTCCAGATGCAGCAACTTACAGTACTAGAGGCAATGCAGGAGCCAAAAAAAACAGTTTGGTTTTCAGATCCCAGTATGAACATGCATGTTTGGCAAAGGTTTTTATTTGTAAACTGTGCAAATTTTATATGGAAGTCAATGAAACAAACATGGAAACTCTTGATGTTGTTTTTAGTCACTTTTAAGACTACAGCATACTTTAAGTAAGCAGACAAAATACATTGCAGACAGGAAATGAGGGAGAGGAGAGAAAATGTCATAACTTCACTCATCTAAAACCTGAGGTTAATTGTAAAAAGCATCGTGCTCCACTGCCTGCAATTTCTGACGCCAGTACATCATCCTGAGCTGAGGTGCACATTAAGAATTCCTGGCCATCATTTCCAGCTGCCATATTTCTACAGCTGTCACAAAGCAAAATTTAAAGATTTCCTTATGCATCTAGGAACCCTAAGAAGTTTCCATGTCTACATGAGACAGTTTTAAAGAGCTTTAGGAGCCTCATGGAAAACACTGAAAGCATCCTAATTTAAAGAAGCAAACTTAATGCTGATGTAGGTTTTCTGTAGTTCTCTTCTTTCCTACTAACATTATTAAAAGCGTATCTGTTATAACCCAGATGAAAAAAGCGTAACTGGTATCTGTTATAACCCAGATGAAATTAAAATCTTTTGTTAGCAGAACAGATTTCAGAAAAAATACAAACCACACCTCTTATGTCACAAACAAAGGAATCCACCTTCATCTGCTTTAGAATGTACAGGAGTCAAATGAACTCTGGTTTTTAAATTTGGAATTAATGTTTTCACGAAACCATTCTTAGCAATAAAAATAGAGAAAATATGTCATAGAAATATACTTGCTTACAAAGAGAATGAGGATTCAGCTGCCATTCAAAGTACTAATAAGCAGCTAAGCAAAATAAAGTTTGTTTTTTATTTCAGCATATTTCAGTATCATTGGATATTGTCTATTTAAATCACTGAATCTATTTGAAAGACTTAAAAACAAATTCTGAAACTAAGTCTTTAGGGTAAAGAAAGGAAATACCTGTATCAGACATTTACTGACATCACTAGCACAGAGAGCCTTATTGCAGCCCATTGATGGTGGAATCCATAATAAGAACAGCAGGATAGTTACTATAGGCACTGTGACGTACTGTGACCTCATGATTTCCTGCAGGCAGTCAATTTCTGGAATCTCCAAGCAGCACTGAAATAAGAAAAAGCAACTGAAAATACTGTATTTGCTGGAGTGGAAGCCAAATCCTTTTTGTTTTTCTCATGTAATTCCTTTAAACCAATTTTAAGGGCTTTGCAGGGTGGAGTGATTTAAATCAAATTGAAAATTGTGAAATCAATGTGAAGTTATGCTGCTGAACATTAAACTTTATAATAAATTAAAATATAAGCATGTGGGTTTTCTTAATTGCCACTACTGATTAGGGAATCTTATTTGAATGTTATAAATCTGCTGTATGCAAAAAAAATGTTTTCAAAGTATTAAAATTAAGGCCCTGATCTTGCAAACCCCAAAACCAGCTATGTTACTTTTCTCACACAAATACACTTAAAGTATGTACACAGGTGTGCGTAGCATCAAAAGCTAAAATTGTATTTTTACTAAAAACTTCTTAGTGGCATGAAATCTTTATCACTTCAAAACAAAACCGCTTCAGTGTTAACAATAAGATGTTTAGACTTTCAATACATTAACAATACACACATGCCAACATTTCAAAAAAAAAGGAGCCTAAAGTTAGGTTCCTAAACCTGTACCTTAAACACTTGAAGGTGGGATTTTTCAAAAGCACATAAATGACTGGAGTGAATGAGACACGTGCACCTAAAATTGGAGGAATATAGCTTGGTCAAAGAATTTCAGCTTCCTTCACTTCTGGAAGTTCAGTATATCATAGATGATATGGTTTTGCAAATACTACGTGTTTGACTTCAATATTTATGTTATCAAAATAGTTTATGGACCCCAATCACAAACTAGGACCCCATTCTGGCAGGCACTGTACAAATACATAACAAGGAGCTTAGAATGAGCTTGTATTGTTCTTATGGTAAAGATGTTAATGAGGCCCTGGATTTGTCTTGTTCAGCATTTATGAACCTTTTAGTAGAAAAACAATTCTATGTAAACTAAAATTCTACTAGCAGTTAGGAAACTAATTAAAAAAAAACAAGTACAACATATCCACTCGAGCAATTTAACACTATAAAATGGGAAGAAATTAAATAAATACCAATATATAAATAAAAATGATTTCAATATAGAATATCATTTAAAATTAATAGTTATTTTTTAAATTAAAAAAAAAGCATTATTTGTATCCAGAGTTTTGGGGGGCTTCCCCTATTCATTCCAGGGGCATATACAAAGAACAGAGGATCTTTCACACAATCAAGAGCCATTTACTTTCACTGTGTACATAATAATGTTTTGACATACATAAAGCTTGATGTTTTATCATAAATTATAATCTAGATTTAACAATAAATATCTTAATCAAAAATGGCAGGAACTAAAATAAATATATGGTAAGTAAACAAGTACTTACTTTACAAAGGAGAAGCTCTAATAGATTAGTGAATAAAGATATGTTTTAACACAGCACCAAATTGTTTCAATGCCATCAATCTGGATTTAGTCATTATATATCAAAGGGCTTCTGAATACACAACTGGATAGATGTCACTAATATGAATACACTGCGATGGAGTTATATTAATAATTTAATACAGATGTGTGTTGTGGGGTGAGTGGCTAACAATTTCCATGCTTCACTGCTTATTCTTAGTTGCCACTTATCCTTTCAATCTACATTTTCACTACACCCCATTTTCTGCTTGCCCTCAAAACTTTCTCACTGGCTGTCTTCATTCCTTACCTACATTCAGTTTCTGCCTGCTACCTATCCCTGTTGTTTAACCCTTCATAATTCAGTTGGCTCATTCCCAGTTACTCACTTCCTAAACTGCACACTACAGCTTGACTTGGAAGGTCAAGTTTAAGTCTGGCTTATCTAACACTAGTTACTCCTCACCTTGTATCTACACTATGAAAGACAGTCAACACCTTTAGTTGATTTCAGGTGATCGAGTTAGCCAAAGCATGTGTTAGTTAAGTCCATCCTAAATGCCCATTTTTTCTAATCTAAGCAAAAGAACCATGACACAGGGGAGAAAAATACTTCTGAAAGGCCCACCATGAGCACTGATGATTAACTCCCTTTCCCTGCACAAACATCTGTTACTGCTGTCTGAGAGGCTGCTACGGCAGCAAAGGAGTACATCACTCTCTTTGCATGGGTCTGGACCAACACATGATTGGTAGGAATGATGTGGAGAAATGAGGAGCAAGGTACTTGAACTGTAATCTCTTCGGGACAACCTCTTTTTTGTTCTGTGTTTGTACAGCACATAGCAGAGCAGTCCCCTTCACTATCTATATTGCTCTTACCCTTTGAAATGGCTGGGGTCGTGGCGGTCTGTATTTCATATACTGTGGTTCCATAAACAGAAAAAAGACTGAGGTCTCTGTTCCTCAGAGATTCATTTTGTCCTGGGTGGCTAGGTAGTCTTCAAGTAAATGACTGTACAGAAACAACTCACAAATATATCTGATGCCAACTTGAACTTGATCTCCCAAATAACGTAAAATATGCATAGAAGGTTGGGTTTTTTTTTTTTTTTTTTTGCAATGCAACCATTTCCCCTAAACGTTTTTCTACCAACTCATGTGCTAACTGCTCACAAAACACTCGGAATTGACTTAATACTCCAAATAACAGTCCGAGCTCATCCACACACCCTGCCCTTCTAACCGAGTCACCATTTTCCTACCAAAGATGGCCCTGGCACAGGCCTCCCGACGGCTGGCGACAGGGGGAGAAAACAAGCACAAAATGTTTCATCCCGATACTTTCCCAACCTTCTCTGGGGCGGAGGCGCTGGAACAATGTGTCTGGCGGGGATGCTGAGAGCCATTGCACCAACCTGCAAACCCCGCATTTGATGGAAACCACTTCAAGCCAGGGGGTGCAGCGGCAGCGCCCCCAGCACCCCTGCAGGGCGGCGTGGGGGGAGGCAACCGCACCAACCACAGCCACAGGCAGAGCCAAGAAACAGCAACAACTCCCCGGCCAATCCCCACCCCCCTTTCCCGGGAGCGTGTGCCAGGCGGTGTTTCGGCGCTGGCCGGGCCGGGAGCGTTTCCAAAGCGCCGTTAAAAGGCAGCAGTGGCCTCCCCAGCGCAGACTAGCGCCCCATGCCTGGGAGTGTCTAGCCTGTCTACAAAGGGAGCCGTTCGCTTCGAATCAGAGGAGCGACCCGGAGCTCCTGAAAGAGCCACAGACTCCACGCCCACCGCCCCGCTCCCCCTTCCCGGCACCGGAGCCCCCCGATCTCCTAGCCCGGCTGCCCCTCTCTCTGCCCGGCCCCTGGCGCCCCAGTGCCTCCGTCCCGGCGCGCAGCGGCCCCCCTGCCGGCGGGTCTCTTACCCCAAGGCGTCGCGGGCTGGGCAGCCCCCCTGTGCCTAGCGCTCCGGCTGCTCGAGAGGCGGCGGCAGCGGCCGCGCTCTGCAGCCCGCGGCTTCCTTCGCCTCGGCCGCACGCAGCGAGGAGGCGGCCCGCGCGTCGCGCCGCTCACACAGGGCCCGGCAGCGCCCCGCCTAGGGGCACCGTCAAGGGACAGGACCCTCCCCCGCTCTGCCCGGCCTGAGGGAGGGGCTGACTCCCCCCCTCACCCTCACTTGGGGGGAACCAGGGTGCCCCCGCCCGCTTGCATCGCTCTGCCTAGGCCCCTTGGTCCCATCCAAGTTGCCCCAGGGAGGGGACGGGCCTGCTCCACCTTCCTCACCAACTCCAAACCGGGACCATTTGGCGGGTGAGTTTGCCACAGTTGCCAGACTTTTCACCTCTGCAGCAGACGGGCCCCTGGGGCCCAGATGTGGCAGCAGCTCCACATTTGAACACTGGACTGACTCTCTGCATGGTTGGGGTGGAAATTCACCTTGAACGCCTTGTGCCGAGCTGGTCGCCCCGTCTCAAAAGAGTTACACTGAATTGGAAAAAGTACAGAGCAGGGCAACAGAAAGGAGTAAGGGTGTGGAACAGCTTTGAGATGAAGAGAGATTAAACAGACTGAGACTGTTCAGCTCAGAAAAGAGAGGCGGGAGGGGGAGATAGGATAGAAGTGTATAAATCATGAATGGTGTGAATAGGGAAGAGGGGGTTAGTTATCTGTAACTGGAGGTTCTTCAAGATGTGTGGTCCCTGTTTGTATTCCACCCATGGGTGCGCACGCGCGCCATGCACCTGAGTCCAGAAGTGTTTCTTAGCAGTAGCCATAGACCCACATGTGCGTAGTGCATGCTCAGAGCTGAGGGTATAATAGGTCTTGCGGGTCCACACCTCTCCAGTGTCCCTTATTGTTGTGCAGTCCAGTCCACAGCAGAGGGGATGGAGGGTGGGTATTAGAATACAAATTGGGAACACACAGCTCAAAGAACCTCCAGTTGCAGGTAAGTAATCTCTTTTTCTTCGAGTCATGGTCCCTATATGTATTCCATACGTGCGTGATTAGCGAGCAGTGATCAGTGCAGAGGTGGGTGCGAGGATGCAATAGAAAGTGCAATCAGCAGTACAGCTTGGCCCACAAAAGTCCGTAGCCGCTAGTTGTGCGATGGCATTGTGGGGTGTTGATGGAGTGCCAGGTTGTTGCATGACAGATGTCTTGCCATGAGACGTCAGCAAGGCAGGCTGATGTAGCTGCTTGCGCTTGCATGGAGTGCACTGTGGCTCCATCAGGTGGAGGTACATTGGATTGTCTCTAGCATTCACGGATCCACCCAGAGACCCATTTGGGGATTCATTGGGAGGAGAGAGTTTGGCCCTGGGATCAGTTGGCAATGGCCACAAATAGTTTTGGCAATGTGCAAAATGAGCGAGTCGGGTGGAGGTAGAATGCCAGTGCACAGCGGACGTCTTGGGAGTGCGGGATCCTATCCATGTGGGAGGTGTGTGGTTTGGGTCAGAACACAGATAGGTAGATGCACTGATTTAGATGGAACTTCAACACTGTTTTTGGGAGGAATTTAGGTGTAGCCATAAGGAACATTTATTCTGGTGAAACACGGTGTAAGGGGGGTTTGCCATCATGGCCGCCAGTTCACTGACCTATCTGAGGTAATGGCTACCAAGAATGTCACCTGCATGGAGAGCTGGAAGAGGGAGCATGTTGCCAGTGGCTCAAAGGGTGGCTTTGTGAGGGCAGAGAGAATGAGATTAAGGTCCCACAGGGTGTGAGCTTGAGTACTGGTGGGAAGGTACTGAGTAAACTCTTCATGAAACGGATGGTGGTAGGGTGTGTAAAAACACAGAGGCGCTGTCCATGGGGGAGAAAAAGACACTGAGTACTGCCAGATAGACTCGTATAGAGCTATGGGCAAGATTGAGAAGGTGGTCGAGGACGATAGGTATAGATATAGCGCTCAGTGGATGGTGATGGCAGTGAAGTGTCTCCATTTAGCTCTGTAGCAGGCCCTGGTGGATACCCTCCTGCTCTGGTTAGGGATGTGTTACACTGGGATGGAGAATGCCCTGTCTATCCCCGAGCCCCATCCAAATACTAGGCTGTGAGGTGAAGATAGCCCAGCTTGGGATGTCAGACCTGGTCCCGATCTTGCATGAGGAGGTCCGGGAGTGTTCAGAGGCAGAGTGGTGTGTGGATGGAGAGTCTGTGTAGGTCTGTGAACCAGAATTGGCAGGGCCAGAATGGGGCTAAGAGTATCACGGTGGCTCAGTCCAGGCGGATCTTGTGCAATGCTTGTGGGAGGAGGGGAAATGGGGGGAAAGGCATAGCGGAGGTTCTGTTCGGGGAGGAGAAGGGAGTCGCCCTGCGAGTCTTCCCTTACGGCTCCCCTGGAGCAATAAAGGGGCAGTTTGCAGTTCTCACAAGTGGCAAAGAGGTCCCACCACAGGATGCCCCATTTATGGAAGAGCTATCCAAGCATGGCATCATGTAATTCCCTCTCGTGGTTGAGGTAGAGAGTCCTGCTGAGCGCATCAGCTAGGGCATTTTGGGTGCCTGGGAGATATATGGCTTGGAGCATCACCTAGTGCTTGATGCACCAGTTCCAAAGATAGACAGACTCAGAACAGAGGGAGGGAGACTTGGTGCCACCCTGCTTATTCATGTAGTGTTGTTGCAGAGCAATTGAATGTAGTCGGACTGGATGAGAGAAAGAAATGCCTGGCACACGAAACTGACTGCCCACAGTTCTAGCATGTTTATATGCATTTTGCTTTCCCATGGATTCACACCCCCTGGGCAGCGTGACCATCTAGATGGTCTCCCCAACACACAAAGGAGGCATCCATTGTAATGGTAGGATCAGTCCATCATGTGAGGGAGGTAAGCACTGTTCAGGGAATGAGGACCCTGGCCTCCATATGGCCCATGCTGGCGCTGTAGATGGAGAGGAGCCACATCTGGAAGCAACGCATATGCAGACATGCATGCAGTGTATATGTTCAAGGACAGAGACACAATGGCGGACCATGGTGCGTGGCTTGCAATGCAGATCTGCAATAATGATTGTCAGTGTTGCAAATTGGTCCAACAGAAGAAGAGCCCTTGTTATGGATGGAGTCGAACCATGCTTCCAATAAAGTGGATCATCGGTGTAGATCTGAGCACTGACTTTTCCTTGTTGATGCAAATACCTAGAGACCCCAGGAAAGTGCAGAGGGTGAGGATGGCAGAGGTGAGTTCTTGTTGGGATAGCGTGACAAGGAGCCAGTTGTCTAGATAGTAGCTGAGATGGTGTATTTGTGCTGATACTATTGCGAAAACCTTCATGAAGACTTGTGGAGCCATGGCTATGCCAAAAGCAAGAACCCGGAATTGCTAGTGTTGTGTCCCACCTGAAAACGTAGAAATTTCCACCGGGCCGGGTGAATGTCCACATGGAAGTAGGCATTCTTCATGTAGAGACTGTGAGCCAAGCCCCCTGGGGGAGGGGGATAATTGATGCCAGCATCACCGTGCGGAATTTGGATTTTCTGATAAAGGTGGTCAGCAGCCGAAGGTTGAGAATGAGGCAGCACCATCCGCCCTTCTTAGGGATGAGGAAGTATGGGGAGTAGAAGTCTCATCCCATGTTAGGAGGTGGGATCTACTTTATGGCTCCCTTTAGGAGAAGAGAGTCCACTTCTTGTTGGAGAACACATTGAAGGGAAGGGTCCCCTGGGGGCTGATGCGGGGGAAATGAGAGAAATTCTATGGAGTGTCCATGGTAGATGATCTCCAGTACTCAACAGCCCCAATTGTTGGCAAATAGGCCAAAATAGCCCCCAAAGACAACATGAGGATCTGCAGGTGGCAATGGGGGAGGTTCGCGGGTCTTGACCATCACATCAAAACTGAGGCTGCTGGTGGAAGAGGGTGGAGGAGGTGGTCATGGCAGAGGCAGGGAAGCAAGGTCACTGAGAGCAGTGCTGCCTACGTGGGGCCTCCTGCTGGCATTGGTAGTAGGCTGGGTAGGGCGCATGCGGGCATGGATGGAACTGCTACCATTGTTGTCTGAATCGCAGGGCCATGGTATATATCCCTAGGAACTGTAGCATGGCCCTGGAGTCTTTCAAGAATGAAGGGACTAGTCTGTCTTGCTGTGAAACAGTTTGTACTCGCCAAAGGGGAGGTCCTCGATTGTACTTTGGACCTCCCTTGGGAAGCCAGATGACTGGAGCCACAAGTCCTGGCGCATGACAACCCCAGTTGTGTGAGAGCAAGAGGATGTGTCAGCCACATCTATAGCTGCCTGGAGGCCCACTTGGGCAACCAGGTGCCCCTCGTCTACCAGCGCCTGATATTGCTGCTGTTGGTCTGGTGGCAGTTTGTCCCAGAACTCTGCTAGCTTAGCATAGTTATTAAAATCATACTTGTCTAGCAGAGCCTGATAGTTTGCGTTCCAGAACTGTAGTACTGCTGAGGAATATACTTTTCTCCTCAACAGATCCATGCACTTTGCAGCCTGGTCTGGAGGGGTTGACTTCTATGTTTGCTGGCATGCCTGCTCAGCTGCTACGTGCAAAAAATAAAATCCATCCTTTTAATAGGTACAAAATATCTAAACCCTGCCCACTAACGTGTGGGGACACAGAAGGAAGGGGTGTGCCACACTGCTCACGCTGGGTGAAGGATGACTTCATTAATAGGTAGTGCCACCCTTGAGGGCCCCTGAGGTTGGAAAATGTCCAGGAGCTGGTGTTGCTTGTCCTGAACCTCCTCCACTGGGATGCCCAGGTTTGTTGCTACCCTCTGCAGCAAGTCATGAGATTGCTGGTAATCATCCTGTGAAAAAGGGAGAGAGGAATAAGTGCCTCATCCAGTGAAGAGGAAGCAGCCATGGGGACTGGTGAAGCCAGCGGCACTGGTTGGACATCTGCCTCTTCCTCAGACAGTGGTGGTAGAGGAGCCGGGCAGTCGTAATAGGATGCCTGGCAAGGTGGGTAGCATTGGCGGTAGGAGTCCCAGGGTGCCCAGTACAGCCCAGGCGAAGGGTCCTGCGGTTGCGGTGGACCCCACGGGTACTGGTACTAGACCCTCACTGCTGGATCATATTCCAGTGGATAAGGTGGTCAGGGATGTGA